TGATCAGCTTCTGTATGAGGAAGCCAATAGATCATAGGCTATAAGAGCTAAAGACAGTCTTTAAAAGCTGATCAAGATTACTTCCTTTTGTTATAGACAACTTCTTCCGTTGTTATCAATTTTCGATAGCATTAAAATACACATTTCTAATGACATATTCATCCAATTGATATATAATCAAGCAAATAATTGAACAACTTAAAAAATGACAAAAATGTAAATAGGAAACACAGATTCTTATTAAACAAAACGTATTTTCATATTGAACATTGACAGGGTATCTTCTCGTCAAGCCATCTCATCTATTCCATGCGTCATTATAACTTGCTTTGCGTTGATTTACTACAAGTAATTTCGATATTTTCTCCGAGTGTTTTATCGCCGTGTACAGTTTGCTTTATGATCATGTGAAATTCCTAGTTTTGTTTGGCGGCACTTGCTTTTCAACTGTCAGTGGCTACGCTTTGTATTTTCATTCAACAAATGCGCCATAAATCAAAAAAAGGTAGTCAAAACGCTGCAAGACACGCCGGGGGAATTGAGAAACAGTCTCCAACCGGCCTACTTGCCACTTGCCACTCCTCCCCCCGCCCCAAACGCCTTTGAGGGGGGAACTTAAACAGTAGTTGCTTTTCAAATCGCGCGCATATCCGCAGAGCTTCCATAATTTTTTTAGCCCAGCTCCGCACTCTCCGCACGTTGTTCGTATATCTTATCGATGCTTTGCATTTTGCATGTTGCCTGTTGTCCGCATACAGCAACAGCAACAACAACAACAACAACATGGCTGCAAAAATTGATATTGCAGCAAGCAGCAAGCAGCAGCAGCAGCAGCGAGGCGACTCCTCTGTGCTGGCAGCCATTGCAAAAAAACTGGTTGCAAGCCTTACTGCAATTTCTTCTTGTTGCCCAGTTCGATTTTGGTCTTTTGAAAGATTGCCGACTTTGATAAGCAGCTGCTGCTGTTGCTGCTGTTGCTGTTGCTGTTGCTGCTGCTGTTGCTGGTTTAGTTGCGCATCTCATGCTAAAATTACTGCTGCTTCCCTTTTGCTTGTGGCGTTCATTATTTGCCTTTGATATGTTTATTGGCAGACAGTCTCCACCCCAAAAAAAGAAGAAGAACTAATTCATCGGTCACTCACAGAGTGCAGCGTACAACTATCCATCAAGTACTCAACGCGGATCCCCCTCTCAATCCCCTCTCAATCTCGCTCCTGCCTCCAACTCCACCAGCATCTCTGGACACGAGCGTAACGCGTGTAATTAGATAAAAACGCTTAAGCACGCCAGATACGAATATTCACTCAGCCAGCTACAAATTCTAAGCAAACTGGCAAATCTTGAGTTACTTTTTTAGCTTCATGTTTTAGATATCTTAACGTTTTATCTACGGCTTGGACTTGGCATGCAATTTTTGCGCAAAAGTCTCTCATTTTGAATAAGCTTTAAGTTCGATGAGTTTACTACTACACTCAGAAAACAGTAGCCTTTCAATAAAGTATATTTCTTAAAGGGAAAGTTGTGTTTTTCTGTAGTTTTCTTTTTTCAATTTCAGGGCACATTTTTTAAACATTAGAAAAAATAGCTAAAGAGAGAAGTAACTGTTGTTGTGAGAGGAAAATTTCCATACCATGTTCCTACTCTATTCTAGTTTTCTGAAAAATAGAAAAATCCGTTACAAAATATTTTATTCGTATATTTAGAAATTATTTCAAGAAACTAGAAAATTATGATAGTTTTCAGGGCTATTATCATTATTACTCACAGAGATAAATATATGCTCAGAGCTATGCAAAAAACTAAACGTTTTTTGATTTACCAAGCTAGTTAAAAATGTTCAACTATTTAGATTTTAATTTTGCACAACTGAGTTTCTACTTAAATTTAGTTTTAGTTTAGGGTTGAAGGGCAGGCAGCTGCCAAAAGGTTAGCTCATTAAAAATTCAAGAAATACAAAATAAAAGCTCAAGATCATAGCAACAACTGGTTGTTGTTGTTGTTGCCTTTGCGGTTGCCTGTTGTCAGTTGTTTAATTGAAAAATGTGTAGCCAAAAATTGGCAAGCAATGGCCGAAAATGGCACAAACACACAGCTGATGGCAAATTCGGCAAAATGCAAAATGCTGCAATGTTAAAAGTGAAAAAGCCGCAGCAGCAGCCGCAGCCGCATTTGCTGTCACACCTCACCACGCAACACACACACTCACACACACACACACATTCACAGACACACCCAACCAACCACTGCCCCAGCACCTCGTCAAATTCGTAGACGACAAACACGAGACGAAAATTGCATTTCCCATTGCCCCCAAATTGTGCCGCAAAATGCGCCGAAAAACGCAAAAATGTTCAAGCAGACCACGGCGCGCCAAATACCCAAAAACCAACCACCCCCCACTTGCCACTCCCGCACTGACTGTGCCAGCAACCCCCAAAAAAATCAGCCGAATTTTCGAGGGCGGTTTTTTTTTGGAGTGAGGATGGTGAGAGGATGGGGAGCCCAGCACAACATGCAAAAGATATGCCGCAAAAGCGGAAAAAAGATACAAGCGCTGGAGTTGCGCTTAAATTCCCATTACGACTCGTAATGGCTGCGGTGTGTGCGTGTGTGTGTGTATCTGTGTGTGTTTGTGTGTGTGTGGGTGTGTGTGAGTTGTTGTGGGTGTGCGTGTGTGTGTGTGTGCGTGCCCCAAAAGAAAAATGAAAACGCAGTGCGCAGGATCATTAAGGCAGACACAAATATCTACACACACTCACACACCCACACACACACACAAAATACAAGAGCAGCTAACAATGAATGCGAAATGTCAGTCAGCAAAAGATACGCAGCCTGCAAATTTATACAAAAGAAGCTGTCCAAAAAGCGACAACAACAACAGCAGCAACAACAGCAATGTTGGAGCAGTGTTGCCAGCATTTTTAAATGCTAAAAAAAAGTTGATTTAACAGAGCAAATTGCTAGAAAAGCTGAAAGAATAATGAAAGAAAAATAGATTAATATCTAAAATAAATATTAAAAACACACCTGACATGGAGCCAGCTAAAAACATATTTAATTATAAAAAGAGCTCAGCAAACGTATTTAAGCGAATTGATTCATCATTCAGGTTTATTGGTTTATTCTTTATTCTTACTTTATTTTTATTTATTAGAATCTATTACAGATTCTTAAATCACATATTTAAGACTACAAACTCTAATAAAGAATGTGCTCTTAGAAATGAGTATGAATTGTTGAATTATTCTTCAGTTAAGTTGTTTCATTGTAAAAATATATATATATCTATAAATTCAAGAGCGCAATTTGATTTTAATAAATCTTTTTTCTACGAAATAGCAAATTGCAAATATATCTAATCAGATTTGATGTGCAAAATGTTAAAATGCTGAAGCGATCAAATAGCCAAAATGCCAACACTGACGAGGAGTAGAAGTGGTAGAAGAAAAATGGTGGCCACGCACAAGGCAACAACAATAGCAGCAGTAACAGTAACAAGAACAAGAAGCAGCAGCAGCAACAGCAGAAACAGCACATGACTGACTGTTGTTATATAGGGTAGCTTTGAGCAGAGAGCGCCAAAGCGAGAGAGCGAAAGCAAACGCACAAGTGCGACAGAGAGGCGGGCAGAAAAAAGCGCACATGCCACGCAAAAAAAAAAGAATAAATAAAAAAAAAAATAATAAAATGTAAAGGCTGGGCGCTTGAAGCTTCCAGCTTGAAGGCCGGCTGAGGCTGCTTAATATTGGAGGGCGGATGGATTGGAGTGTTGGGGGGAGCTGCACATGGAAGTAAATGCTGGCGTCTGAAGTGCTTGGCAGCATGAAAGCAACAAATACAAGCAAACGAGAAAAAACCAGGCGAAAAAAAGCGAACGCCAAAAAAAAAAATCGAAAACGAAAGAAAGAAAGAAAGACAGCAAAATAAAAGCAGCAACAGCAACAGCAACAATGAGAAACGGGGCAACGGCAGCAACTTGTCTGCTCCGCCTTTATAAATAATTCATGTGCAGAGCAGCAGCGAGTGCGAAAGATACGCAAGATACACACACACATACACACACTCACACGCACACACACTCACACGCACACACACGCATAGAGACGCACATATACAGATACAACGCAGCCACGTTTAAAGATACAAAGAGGAAACAGCCACAAAGCTTCTTCTCGCGTATGTCTGTGTGTGTGTGAGTCTATATACACACACATACATATACATATATATTATATACAACTGTATGTGTGTTTTCTGAACATTTAAAACGTGCTAAACGCGCGTCAAAGTTTTTCTTAATTTTTCAACAGGCAACAAAGTTTTTCCTGTTGCAAAACTTTTTTCGCTGGATTACAACACACCAATATATATATCTAGATACTTATAAAAATTGTTGGAGGAAGGGTGTGTGTGTGGGGGAGGGGGCAACTTTGGCATTGCGCACATAATGTGGCAATGATTACATTGATTTTTCTTCTATTTTTTTTTTGGCACCCAACTCAGTGCAAAAGTTTTGCTCACAAACTTAAATACTTGAGAAATTTTGTGAGTTCGCGTTGGCAGATTTATGCATTTTTCAAATGTTTTGCAAACAGAAAAGTTTTCATCTTTTCCTCTTTTTTTGTTGGCTTGAGGATTATTTGATAACAGTTTGTTAATTAGCGCCATCTTTGTTTTGGGACTTACTTATTTGTTGTTTACAGCTAAAAAACGAGCCAAATAATTGGCTAAAAAGTGCAGCATCAAGCGGACTAAATAATTATTCACCGGCGCCAAGCAAATGCCGTCGGCAAAACATTGATTTCTCATAAATAAAACATTTTTGAAATTTGAATTAGCTTTTAAGTCGAATAACAAAATGTGTCGATTAAAAGCTGATAGCTATGCGGGCAGACTGCGTTGCATAGCAGTCAGCTATGAAAATGCAACAATATCAATTGAAATTGAAAGTGTTTGTTTTAATATTCATATTTCTTGTGTATTCTCTCTCATTGCAGAAAAACAACGTTTGTCGCATTGCGTGGGCTGTGGCGGTCAGATACACGATCAGTATATATTGCGCGTTGCACCCGATCTGGAGTGGCATGCGGCGTGCTTAAAGTGCCAGGAATGCAGGCAATTTCTGGACGAGAGCTGTACGTGTTTTGTGCGCGATGGCAAAACCTATTGCAAGCGTGATTATGTTAGGTGAGTTATCTAACAAAATATGCAGTAACATTATGTACGCTATATTATGGGTGTGTCTATAAACTATAAACTCTATAAAAGTGGGTAAGAACTGGTAGGTGAGGTAGTTCAAGGTAAGCGAAAGAGAAGTGTAATTGAAACTGTGAATATTACAGTGAATCATGACTACTGAGAACATGTAGAAATTCTTATTCTTAGAAAACTTGTTTTGGTTCAGCAGAGACTGTAATTACAAAATGAATATTAATATAATTCTGTTTAAGAAATTTTCTTTTAATTTGTTTATAAATATTTCCTTTAAACTATGTATCATAGATATTATCTACTTACTCTTAATAGTACACAAATTTATCCACCTATCACATACCAAATAAACTTATATTTATCTGTCGTATACCTTAGAACTTTTGCAGAAATTCTCTGCTATTCTTAAAGTTTCACACTCAGCTTTCAAAAGCTTTCCTATTTCTTTTTACATAGTAATCCTTAACTGTTTTTCAAAGCAATTGCCAAAGTGAAATATGTTGATATTTGTTTTCGTGAACTTTAAAACTCTTCCCTTCAGAGATGTTTATCGATTATAAAATAGTTGTTTCCTTAAATAGTTTTACTTCAAATACAAACTGTCTTTAAAATGTAATTGTCTTCAATTGAGCACCCAACTACATTTTAAGTCTGATCAATCACGCTATATCTCACAACGTCAATGAAATTCCGCTTGACATGAAAAGTTAATAATATTTTTTTTTTGCCCAATAAAGTAGCAATTTGTTAGCACGGCTCTAAACATTTCCCACTTGTTCAATCATGAGCTAATTGTACAAATTAGTAAGCTGACGACAAATCGCATACCCTACATACAGCCTGAGTCGAACAGTAGCTGTAAGTTGGCTTTGGTCATGCGACTTGTGTGTGGAATTGTTGCAGCCAGCACTTGTTAGCCATGTTAATTAGATGGAGCATGCCAAGCAAAACAAATCTGGTTCTAAAGAGCATTCAAGCCGCAACATCGTTGTGGGTGCTGCTGCTGCTACTGCTGCTGCTGCTACTGCTTGTTGTTTTTGACGTCTTTCATCCATTGCCAAATCGGTAAATGTATGACGTGCAATAAACTTTTGATGGCTCACAAAATTTGTCTGCTACCAACAATGGCAACAAAGGGGTGAAGCGGGGGCGGTGGCAGCGGCGGGTTTGGTGTCTCTCGCCGTCGCGTCGACTTCCAACTATTTGACATGCAAATCTTTGAATAATTGATTAGCACGTGCAAAGCTATAAATTAACACTTTACTTGCACAAATGATTGATGTTCAATGCGGCCGACAGAAACACACACACAGAACACAGCAACAGCAACAGCAACATCAACAAGCAGTAGCAACAGCAACCAGCAGCAGCAGCTAACAAAAAGACGACGACGTCAATAGCGGGTTTCCCTCTTTATTTATTTTTTATTATTGCATACCCTACATGCTTTAAATGTGCAGTGGGACTCAGCAGCAAAGCTGTGCAAATTGTTGTAATAGGCGAAAAATCGTAAAAAGACTGTTAAATATATTTCCATATTTTCAAATTGCATTACGGACAAAAAGAGGCATTTCAGGAAGCTATAATTGATTTCTTTTTGATTTGATTACTTTGCATAAATTCCTGTTGCTCTTATTGAATTTGTAGCCAATTACAAAGGGATTTTATTTATTTTTATTTTGATATAACATCTTTGATTCTCAGCAAAAAAATATTTAAACTTTCAAATCTCACAGCGATTGGCTGAGCAACACAAATATTATTTATTCATTATTAGACCCACAGACTACAACTACAACTATATAAATATATTAATATATACAATATATGTACAAAAAACGAAAAAGCAATCAATATCCTTGGGAATGGAGCATTATATATGACCTAACTAAAATAGTTGTATTCGGAAGCGAAATTGTAGATGGGCAGTAATCCTCAAAGCACATCAAAGCAGAATATATAGCCTTAGTCTAGAAAAAGATGTTGCATCTTGGGACAACATATAAATCACTCGAAAGATATATAAACCCTCAACCAGACAAAGATTGAGAAGAAGAGCTATTGGCTCAGAAGGTGGCCTAGTAAATCTAAAATATTTATATTCTTTTATTACATTTATATACATATAGGGTATATACAAGTCCGATATACACATGTCTCCCCGACAAATGCTTGTTTTTTATTATTGATTTTCCTTTTTGCTGATTTTTTTTCTTAATGTTTTTCAATAGTCATAAAAAAGAGAGACAGGTAAAGAGAGAGAGAGAAGGAGAGAGGCAGACAGCGACTTGAACGCATTCAAGGCTGTTTACACATACCGTATTCACATTGGATCTAACTAATAATCATGGGACTCATCTCAATTTCTTCTTCTTCTCAGGTTATTTGGTACAAAATGTGATAAATGCGGTAACTCCTTTAGCAAAAATGATTTTGTGATGCGTGCAAAAACGAAAATCTTTCACATCGAGTGTTTTCGTTGCTCAGCGTGTGCCAGACAATTGCTGCCAGGTGAGTGGATAACCCCAGCCCCACTTAACCCCCATTGTAGCCGACTATTTAACTTATCCAAATATTGATTTGATAGGCGATGAGTTCGCGTTGCGGGATGCGGGCGCCCTGTATTGCAAGGAGGATCACGATGTGCTGGAGAAATCATCGCAAAGTAGTCTAACATCATCATCTGTGGAGAGCAACAACAACATTAGCACTAGTAACAACAACAATACAAATCTTAGCAATAATAACCATTCCAGCGAATTGGGCTCAATGTCAGGTGAGTGTCAATGTGTGTGTGCTGTGTGTGTGTGAGCTGTGTGTTTGTTGTGTGTGTGTGTGTGTGTGTGTTTACACACTTGACTATGCTCTTAATTGGGTCTTACTTGTGGGTCTGTTTTTGGACTGAGATTTGAATCCGTCAAAGCAACGGTTGTGATTAAGACGATTGTACGAAGATAATCAGCTTGCAATATTTTAGGTAATTAGCTTATTTAATAAGTATTTAAGCCTAAACTCCAGTTGCAGTTCCCAATTTAATTGCCTCGAGCTCCTCTGACTTTAGTTTCCTTGGTAAGATAAACGGATTTAGTATTTTTTTGGCGTTTTTTTTTGTAGCTCGAGGCTAAGGCAAGAAGCTGATTTAAAGCTTAGCCGGTTCCCATTTTGGCTGCCTCGTATTCTCACATAGTACTTAGTATGACACTTGCTTTTTGCCAAAACGGCTTCTTCTTCTTCCAATTCTTAGCTGCAATCTTTTGCAACCATTATTAAATTGCAGAAAAAAGAAAACATTGTTGGCAGTTCCAAGTGGCGTAACTCAATTAGCCCAAATTGCATGCTCTCATCTCTCTCTCACTCACTCTCGCAGGCACAATTGGCCAAGTTCGAACTGAGCTGTTATCACCTGGCCCAGTTTTTCTTGTTTTGTTCGCACAGATTGAACAGAGTCTAGCCCAATTAGGCTAAATAGAATTAGACTCCAGCCAATATTGAGTGGTAGTATTGCGCATATTGGGTGTATTCAGTGGGGTCGGCAGCACAAAGGGTTTGGCGAGCGTGTTTTATTCTTAGAAAGACAACGCTTACATCCTTGTATGAGCGATAAAGTGTCAATAGAAATCGGCAAACGTCAAACAATGTTCGACAATTGTCAAACCATATCGTCAACATAATCTCATTGTTTAAACTGAACACATGCCGTGTGTAGTGGGTAGTGGCAGGGGTACGACTAGTCACTATGGAGGCGGGCCATGGAGGGGGTGGGGGAGGGAGCTGGAAACAGAGAAGCGAGCAACGAGTACAACGCGAAACAGAACAGACCTTATCAACATGCTGGCGGTGTTGTCAAAGCCGCCCCAAGCTCGTGTGCGGGCTCCACAGCAATAGAGAGAGAGAGAGAGAGAGAGAGAGAGAGAGAGCGAGAGAGAGAGAGAGAGAGAACGAGAGAGAACGAGAGAAAGAACAGAGGGAGGGAGAGAGAGGGAGTGAGAGAGAGTGAGGCACTAGGATAGGAAAGCTCTAATGGTTAGCATGGGCGTATATAGCATTTCAGTTGGGAGGAAACCAACACTTGCAAGAAATTTAGAAGGATATCTTTACATTTCAAACGCTTTTCTTTAGACGTTCACATATTACACTGAGAGAAAAAATAAATCTGACATTCAGAAGGATTTCCTGATTCGATTTCAAAATCGATCAAAAGAGAAAAGATCAGCAAGTCTTAACCAGCTTTATTTCAGATTTTGCATTCCAGCATGAACAATTCGACGAATATTAGTAACCAACCATTTTTCTCTGCGTAGGGGTCGACTAGTATCTAAAACCGGGTCAATTGCTCGACTCGTCTACGCCCATGATTTGTGAATTTCGCAAAAGGTACAAATAACTGCAGTTGCTGCTGCTGCCTCTTCTTCTTCCACTGCCAAGAGGAGGCAAACAAAAAAGTCAGAGTTGCATTGAAGCATTCAAGCGGGCAAACATTCAACATTGACAACAACTTCTTGGGAATTCAATGTTCAATGTGTTCAAACCTGAATCTTTTGGCGGATGCCTGATCAATCAGTCTGCAGTATTCTGTCTTCAGTCTGCCCATTCATAGTTCCGCATTTGTTTGTTTTCTACTCGAGTTGCCGTCCCCAAAAGTGTTTGAACAGCAATTGCGGCGCTTTGAAGTCTAGTCACAGTTTCGCAGTTCCCAGTCACCGTTTACCGTCACAGTCACAGTCACAGTCGGCATCGCAGCCGCTTGAGGCTTTAATTTGTATAAAAGTTTTTGAGTATATTTTTCTTCGCCAAATTGCCAAAATGAGTTTCGTCTTCAAAAGCGGCAGATGATAATCGAAATCGTTCATTCATCGATGCGATCGTTATCGAAATTAGATAACAATGATAACAACATTTGATGTGCGTCGTGTGAAACACGACTTAATTACGACTCACAACAACTCGAAAAAGATTCATACACACACACACTCACACAACACACAAATTGCTGTGCCGTTCACAGCCTCTTTGATCTACACTGAAAACAAAGCGAGGGGCGGTTGGTTGGGGAGACTCATTGCTATTTTTGGCTGGTTGCGATCTATTGGAATTTGCCTGTTTTGCACGCAGGCAATTTATCAACGTGAACTTCAAAGCGTGTGCAAAAATAGCAATGATTGCGTATTGACAACAACAACAACAACAATGTTGCTCATTTTATTTAAACTTCTCTCTCTTCTCACTCTTTGTAGACTCTGGCAGCGAATCGGGCTCACATAAAAGTATTAGGGAAAAGCGTCCCTCGGGTCCATCGGATGGCAAGCCGACGCGAGTGCGAACCGTTTTAAATGAGAAGCAGCTGCATACGCTGAGGTAAGCCACAATTACAACCACAAATCCTGAGAAAATTAAGCTAATCCTCATCCTCCTCATAAATAGAACCTGCTACAATGCTAATCCGCGACCTGATGCGCTCATGAAGGAGCAGCTGGTTGAGATGACCAGCCTGTCGCCGCGCGTCATCCGTGTCTGGTTCCAGAACAAGCGTTGCAAGGACAAAAAGAAGACCATCCAAATGAAACTGCAAATGCAACAGGAGAAGGTAAGCCAAAAATCTATATTTCATCTGCATATATTCAACTGTAATCACTTTGAAAGAGTTTCCCTAAATAAAACTCAAAGGGTTGCAATTTGAGTGAATAACTGTTTGCTGTTAACAACTTTTCATTAACTGTAACTTTTCTCTTTTAGGAGGGTCGCAAACTGGGCTATGGTGCCATGCAGGGCATACCGATGATTGCCAGTTCGCCGGTGCGACACGATTCGCCGCTGAATCTGCAGGGTCTGGATGTGCAGACATATCAACCGCCATGGAAAGCCTTAAGCGATTTTGCCCTGCACGCCGATCTCGACAGCAATGGGGCCATCAATACGCACACGCCCGCATTTCAACAGTTGGTCAATCAGGTGAGCAACGATCGATCTTTAACTTGAATGGATTCTAAAGAGATTTGCTAGATACATTTTTGGTTATCTGCTTATTGTTTCTAGAACTTCAGATCTAAAGTTAGTTTAACTTTCATAGTTATTTCAATTAGGTCTTTAAGTAATCTTCCATTTTCTACTTGCCACTAATACAACTTTCCACACCTTTGTCTACGTTCGCAACAGATGCATGGTTATGATTTGAATGGAATGCCGGTGCTGCCACCGCATCCGGCACAGGGGCCACATCCCGGAGGAGGACCGCCTGGCCAGCAAATGAATGGTCCGCCCGGGGGCAGCAGCATGGACTCCGGCATAACGTCGCACCATCATCCGGATAGCACCGACTCGTATGTGACATACCTGGAGAGCGATGACAGTATGCAAGGCAGTCCATAGACAAAACGTACCGAATCTAATCTCAGCTTCTTTCGTTTTGCTCCAGAATCCAAGCTGGCGCTGACGCCATCCTCCTCGTCATCGGCATCGGCAACCACATCGATCTCATCGCCGCCGTCATCAGCAATGGGTGCAAGTGGTGCAAATGGTGCGAGTGGTATTGCAAGTGGTGCAAATGGTGGTGGTGGTGGTGTGGGTCTTGTGGGCGTGGGCTTAGGCGTCGGCTTGGGCCTTGGCGTTGGCGGTGGCCTCATCGCCGCCAATCAGTCGGCGACGGAGCAACTAATGCAAATGCTACAGAAAGTTACCGGCTCGCCGGCATCAGTCCTCTGAGCGCAAATCCAACATTCACTGGCCTCCATTGGTGACGGTGACGATGCGGATGCGGATGCTGATGCGGATGCTGATGCAGTGCTGCTGGCTGCTGTTAAACAGCGCCAAAATAAAAAAAACAGCTAGCGGGCTTTGTGGCAATTGGGCAAATTATGTACAGTGTTCGCTCGTTAAAAGAGACACAAAATCGATGCGAATCTTGAACTTAAATTAAGAATTTTAGCGCGAGATTTGACAAAAGCAAAGTAAAACCACAAACTGAATTCTTGATTTGGAATTGATTTTTTAAATTACTACAAATTCAATGATTTCCATAGACCACAAATTCATCAAGTTAATAGGAAATGTTCCCAATTTTTCCATTTTAAATTTCCTGTCCTATTCAATATATCGAGCGATCACTTTAAGAGAATATTCGTCTATCGGTTTTTCTGCGTTTTTTTTTTTTTTTTTGATTCGGTGCCAAAAAAAAGAAAAAGAGAAAAGATAATTAGTGTGGATAGGTCATTGGCTGGCTTTAAGATCAAAATCTAGGGGATCTGGCCAGGCTTCTTGCCTTACTGGGTCTTATTTCTCAGATATTCCCTGATTCTCGGTATTTGGGGCGGCGAGCCGACGATACAGTTTCCAGTTTCATTTTGTCGTTTTCTTTGTTATGTAATATACATTTCTGTTGTTCAGTTTCGCATTAAATTAATTACGCAAAAAAAAACAAAACAAAAAACCCTAAAAAAAACACAAAAATGCTCATACACTTGAAAAGTTTTAACAATAATTTCGCATTAAAAACAAAAAAACAAAAAAAATCTCGTCAAGTAGGGAATTTCATTAAACACAAATTGTAAATAACTTTTATATAAATACATTCATATATATATATATATATATATATATATATATATATACATATATATATATATATATATTTTCATTAAAAATGCAAAAAAAAGGAATCGAAAAAAACGAAAAAACAACACAACACAAAATTCATATGCGTACAGTAAAACCAAATTGGAAAGAAAAAACGAGAAATTGACTATAACGAAAAAACAAAGAGATAAAAAAGAAGAACCTCGTGTGTATTATATGGTATATATATATATATATATATATATTTATAAATATATATAAACTGCAAAGTAAACTAAACTATAAAAAGTAAATGCACTTGGCCAGTTGTAAATCGAATTAACAAAACAAAAACGAAAAAAAAACAGCTACTTTAAGTTCATGAAAAGTTGTATTGAAAGTGAATGAGAAATGATGGAAAGGAAGAAAGAAATATGGAAACGTATTTAAGTGAGAAACTGTAACTAAATCTAGACTTATTTGTTAGTTTTTTAATTATATTTGCATTAACACAAAGAGTAAATAGAATAAAACGAAGGCAAACTGTAAGGCAGCGAACGTACCAAGGATGTTTAATAAATTGTTTCGTGAAACAACTAATGTATTTTCAATAATATTTAAATAATATTAATAATAAACAGTGCATAAGTAATTTTAGTAACTATAGAAAATGTTTAAATGAAATTACAAACGAAAATAAATAACAAAAATCATCAACTCAAATTTTATTTCATTTTTTAAATTACAAATGAGCGCGCGCACTTAAGTTTGCTACAATGAAAGTGCTGCCTTTTCTAACAGCTTTCTGAAAATCGATTGGCAGCACTATTGAAGCGCAGCCAACTTCAAGTGATTCACAAATTGCGCATAGCCAACTTCAAGTGAGTCCAAAATAGTGCACAACCAACTTCTAGTGAGTAATAAAGTGCGTGCAGCCAACTTAACGTGGTAGGCATGTAAATAAAGTCTGTCTAAATTGCCCGTCTTGAAATTAGTTTAATTTAAATAGAAATAGCAATGTCGATAGCAAAGCGTGTACAGGTTGGTATAAATTATAGGCAAGAGCATCAATAGCCATAACTTAAACCCCGATTACTTGTAGCAATGGGCGACATTTGCGCGCACTTGGCACATTTACGATTGTACCTGGCAAAATCCTTTCGAGTCTGCTAGCCTGGTCAAAACACATCTAATGGGCCTGCACAAACCCATTTATCATCCAATGAGTAAGTAGAAATATTTAAATCCTGGCTTTGCAATAGTTTTAAGTGAAAAAACGCGTGGAAAATCGGTAAATATTTGTGTGCCAATTACGTCACAAGCGGCGCGAGTGTGTTGTGAAGCCTCTGCTGCCGGCCGTGTGAGGGTGCTTTTACTGTGAAGAAGACAAGTCTAGGTTAGCTTTAATTTCATTTTGTCCCCAGTCAAGCCTTAATGTGGGTTGTATTCGTTTTAGACGACTGCGGCGACCATGTGGTGCTAATTAATACCAAGGAAATAGCGCTACCTGGCGACGAGTGGGTAAAGCGAGTCTATTTCCACCACACTGGCTATCCGGGCGGCGCCTCGTGGACACTCGCCTGGCAGCTGCACGAAAAGGATCCCACCATGGTCATGAAAAAGGCTGTCTACAATTCCATGGCTGGAAATCTGCAGCGCAGACACACAATGCAGCGACTGCATCTCTTCCACGACGATCAAGTTCCACAGGATATTCTAGCGAATGTTACAAATCAAATTCGCACCCCGCGCACTGTGCCACAGCGACTGGATCACATTGATAAGGAGACACTGGAAAACTTTCCAGCAATTATGGATTATCCCAAGGATTATGTGCTGCGCTAAGCAGGCAGTCATTTCAGAAGTGTATTGTTAGTCAAATATAAATTGTTATATAAACATTTTTGTGGATTTCACTTGGTACCCTTGGAATGCGCATCACTAAAAGACTGGAAGTCTGCAATTGTCATGGAATTTGTTCGTCTGTCTTTCTTTTTTATTTGGTGTGGAGGAAAGGCGCTGCTTAAGCAAACATAATCCACACTATGATTGCTCAATGTGAATCTCATGTCCAAAGCGCTTCATTTTGATTTTTCACGAGAATTTTTACGCAATAAAATATTAAACTAAACTTACTAATATAAGTTAAGGACAAATCTGACTACAAAAAGGCTAAATTGCCAACACTACACATACCGCAACTTATTCAAAAGTTGGCTCATCGATATGTTTCTGATATCGATAGCACAGCAGTATCCCTGGTTGTCATTCATCTATTTTCTATTGCCGGCAATCGACGCTTTGTGAGTGATTTGCATTTGTTCCCGATATTCTTTTTGTTTTTTGTTTTTTTCTCATCAACTCCTACGCATTTTTTGAGCGTGTGATCATCATCAACATCTGCGTCTTAAATTGTCTGTGCAGCAGCTGGTGAGCATTTGGCTATTCAGTGCAGCTGTTCAGCTTAGATTTATGAGTTGTTCTTGTCTAATCTCTTTTATCGGCCACTCGAATTAAGCATTAAACAATTCTTTTCCTCTTCGTGCTATTTTGCAGTTGCCACACGTAACTTGTGCTCGTCGCAATATCCGCAACTGTTGCCCATTTACAAAGTACAACAACAACAAAAACGCAATATGGGTCGTTTGGGCACAGTTGATCCCAGCTCCTACTCCCAGCCGGATAAAATCACCACCGAGCACAGCGCCATCAATTGGCAAGTGGATTTTGGAGCCACCAAATTGCGTGGCAGCGTTTTGCACAGATTCAAAGTGCTTGCTAGCAATTTGGAGTCGATTGTGAGTGTTGACTGAATTTCATCTTTAGCAAACCAAATTATAAACTAATCTCTCCTCTTCACCTCTGCCAGCTACTGGATGTGCGTGATCTTGATGTGAAGAATGCCACGTTGCTGGCCGGCGGCACGGAGCTGCCCATTAATTTCTTTGTCAGTGATCCCGTGCCCGATATGGGACAGAAGCTGACGCTGGAGCTGCCAACGGGCACGGCAAAGGGCAGGTGCGTTAGATAATCTAATCTTTATAGCAACTGTAAATAATATATATTTGTAATCATATCTGCAATCAAAAGTCTTAATGTGCGCATTGATTACGAGACGGCTAGCAACGCAAGTGGCCTGCAGTGGCTGAATCCCGCCCAAACGCTGGGCAAGAAGCATCCGTACATGTTCTCGCAATGTCAGGCGATACACGCTCGCTCCGTGATACCCTGCCAGGATACGCCGGCGGTGAAATTCACCTACGATGCGGTCGTGCAGCATCCCACGGAGCTGACGGCACTGATGAGCGCCATCATCGATAAGAATGAGCCGGGCAAGACGCATTTCAAGCAGACGGTGCCCATACCCGCCTATCTGGTGGCCATTGCCATTGGCAAACTTGTGTCCCGTCCCCTGGGCGCCAACTCGAATGTGTGGGCCGAAGAGGCAATTGTGGATGCCTGTGCCGAGGAGTTCTCGGAGACGTCAACGATGCTGAAGACAGCCTCGGATTTGTGCGGACCGTATGTGTGGAAACAATACGATTTATTAGTGATGCCACCCTCATTTCCCTTTGGCGGCATGGAGAATCCTTGCCTGACTTTTGTCACGCCCACTTTGCTGGCGGGCGATAAGTCGCTGGCAAATGTGGTGGCCCATGAAATTGCGCACAGCTGGACGGGCAATCTCGTGACCAACAAGAACTTTGAGCATTTCTGGCTAAACGAGGGTTTCACCGTCTTCGTCGAGTCGAAGATTGTGGGTCGCATGCAGGGCGCCAAGGAGCTCGATTTTCGCATGCTCAGCAATCTGACCGAGCTGCAGGAATGTGTAAGTTGTGCTGAGATGGATTCTCTCCTCCGATATACAATTTACTAATTTAATTATCATCTTCAGCTTCGCACTCAACTCTCGGACACACCGGAGCTCACCCGGCTGGTTGTCGATTTGAGTAACTGTGGACCCGATGATGCATTCTCCTCGGTGCCCTACATCAAGGGCTCCACCTTCCTGCGCTATTTGGAGGATCTGCTTGGCGGACCACAGGTGTTTGAGCCCTTCCTGCGCGACTACCTCAAGAAGTTTGCCTACAAATCGATTGTGACGGATGACTTTAAGGGCGCTTTGTACGACTACTTCAAGGACGCGGACAAGAAGGATAAACTGGGTCTCGTCGACTGGGAATTGTGGCTCAAATCCGAGGGCATGCCACCAATTATACCCAAGTAAGTTTATCAAGCTCTGCGTTTAACTGAAAGTACTCATTCAGTGTGTGTTTTCAGATTCGATGAATCGCTGTCGAATGTGACCAAGGAGCTGGCCACTCAATGGAGCAGCAAGACGGTCGATGAGCTGGCCAAGAGTTCGGACATTAAGCAGTCCATCTCCATACACCAGCTGATTGAGTTCTTGGGCAAACTGATCGAGAGCAAGGACATTGTTGAGCTAAATGCACGTAAAATTGAGCTGCTCGAAACCACCTACAATCTGAAACAATCGAAGAATGCCGAGATCCGTTTCCGTCTCAATCGGTTGATTATACGTGCCCGGCTCATCCAACGGCTGCCCGAGCTTATTGAGTTTGCCAACTCGAATTTCCGCATGAAATTCTGTCGTCCCATCTATCGGGATTTGGCCGCATGGCCAGAGGCCAAGCCAGCGGCTGTGGAGAACTTCCTGAAGGTCAAGGATCAAATGATGGCCGTCTGCTCGCACACCATCGAAAAGGATCTGGGCTTGAAGTAGACAGGAGCAGCAGCAGCCGCAGCAGCCACAGTTTAATTCAATTTTGACCGCACTTTGCATTTGTGACAACTGCGACTGGAAGTCGTATTTTGTGAAAAAAGACTAACAAATTTAAAAAGAAAAACAACAAATAAATCAAAAGAGAAATTATCTGTATATTGTTGTTGTTGGTTTTTCTTGAATTATTGTTTTTATTAAAAAATAAGCAAAACTACGTTTATAACAAGTTGATTTTCCATTTCCATGCTCATTGTATGCGACTGTTTTTCATGACACTTTTTCTCGCTTTTTTTCGCTTGCATTCGAATTTGTCGAAAATTGTGTTTTTTTTTTGGTTTTTCATATATTTTTTTGTGCAATTGGCCCAAAGCATTGCCAATTATTTATTTTTTCTTGTTTTCATTTCACATTGTTCACATTCAAATTAAGATTTTTCAATCCTTTTCGACTAACAATATAGTTTTTTTTTATACAACTAACCAAATGTTGCTCAACTTTCGAGTCCTATGCGACAATTTTACTTGTGTTTTTCTCATTTTTTTTTTAACTAAATTTGTTTTTGTTGTCATACAATTTGTTCATCCTGTTTTAAATTCATTAAAGTTCTGCTCGTAATTTACCTTGTTATACACACACACACAGATATTAAATTTATTATTGTTTGCTTGCGTTTTGTTTTGTGTTTTTGTTTGTTTTTTCTTTGTTTTTCAACTTCTTGACGAGTTTTGCTTTATTGTTTAAACTAATCAACAATTTGTATCTTTTACATTGACCAAAATGCAACCTCAACTTTCTCTAACGCTGAAATTTTGTTTTTTTTTTAGTGGACAAAGTTTTTGAGTTTTCGATTTTTGTGTTTTTGTTTTGTGTTTTTGTTGTTCATATAAATTTCTTGTTGTTGTCGTTGAGGAATAAAAACTATCACGCACTAGAATTATCATTGGAACGGGATGTGGATGGACCGGCACCCAGATCATCGCCCACGACGAATGTGGGACTCTGGCGGGACGTGGACGCAACCGGCTGGTAATGATAGCCCTCGCGATAACGCTGATTGGGTTTGATGCGTGCGGTTTGTGTGTGACCCAATGTTGGACGCTGGTTAAGCTCATTGGGTCGTTTGGCTGTCGATTAGATTCAGATTGATATTGGAGCGTTAGTGTGAGAATCAATATAAGCATTTACAAATATATTTATTTCTAATTTATAATAATAAAAATAAAAATAATTTTAAAACAAATCATATAAGAATCTGTCAAAAATTGAGATAGTTTTGGGGCGTGTCAGTAAATCTAATCATAATCTAGAGAGTAATTTCTCTTATTTAAGATTAGCGCTTAAGTTTGTCAAATACCCCAGGCTAAAACTAAAAGTATTTGATGCCAACATTTCACTTCTATTTCGACTTAAATATCCTATATCTATCTGTTTGAAGTCGTCGATCTCAGAGACTGCTAGAGCTTAAGACTTAAAATTTGGCACATTAAAATGCTCTATTCAAGACAGCGCTATAAAAGGCTTTTTATTAACCTTCGAAATAGCGACCATTTTCAAAATGGAAAGATTTAACAAGTACTTAAACAACAATACAACTATTTCACAGCTTCTGCAAGTATTTCAATATTATAACTCTCAGATAATACAGCACTTACCAGGTATATAAGGCTTTTGATTATAGGACGATTGTTGTTGTTGGTTATATTGATCGGCGGCCGTTGCATTGCCATTGGTTTGGCTGCTGTGCTGATACGGCGCCAGGAGATCGGTGCTGTTGATGGGACTCATCGGCGTCATTTCGCGATCCTCGATAAACAGTTCGCTGGCATCGTCGGGCACCTGACGATATTGGGACCAGGGCCACGAGGCAATGCCGGACAACAGCAGTGCCTCCAAGGCGCAAATATAGCCAATTATCTAAGGCACAACATTCAAAAATGCAATAAAAATTAGTTATGCATGTTTATTGGCAAAGTTATGCGATTACTTACGCCCGTGGCTAGTAACGTGTCCTTGGAGTGCTTGGACACAAATGTATACTCAGTGGCATACAGCACCATGTGGACGAGCAGCGTGGAGCTCAAAATAAATATTAAACCAACACTCAGGTACATCCACGTATTCTGTTGAGCCAACCAAAGCAAACGCAATCCATAATTTATTAAATACACTTTAATTATTTTTAATTGGTATCTGAGCTAATTAGCTTGCATTACAAAATAAATAATATAGCACAAGAAAAACAAATCCTTGAACAACTGAAACGATTTGTACATTTTTGATTTTGTTCGTTTATTTATTCATTGCTGACACATTTTAACCGAAAACAAACAACAATTAAATTAAACTAAATTTTACAAAAGTTAGTCGAATTATTGATTCAATGGAATCGAATAAAAATATTTAAAAAAAATGAATTAAGTTTAATCTATGTTTGAATAAACAAAATATAAATAAATTAAATACTCGAACTACAAATAAATAAATAAATAATAAGTTTAGCTTGAGTCAAGGTTAAATGTGTTATTTGAACTTGGCATTTTTGATGGATTTTCTTACCACTTTCGTCCAATTGAATGGAAACATGAGCGCTATATGCGATATATCGAGAAAGAGCATTAGGCATGTGATGAGTAGCGAGAAGAGCGCACAGAAGACCATCAGCCTCAGGCGTCCGATGAGTGGCAGTAGAAAGAGGCCGACCTGTACAGTGCCCGCGGAGCATTCGCAGGCCAGACAGACGGCCGAGGATAACTGCAAGCAATAAGAGAGACAGAATGTTTATTAATATTCATATTATTTAGTTAGTTAGTTGGTTAGTTAATACTGACCACCAATAGTATGCGCACAATCCCTGTAGGCGATTTCAAGTGTTGCGGATCACAGTGTAGGGCAACGCCCCATGGCAGCGGCGTTTGTTGTTGCTGTTTGTAGTTGGCGTGCGAATCCCATGAGGTGCACGTACCCAATGGCGATTCGAGTGAGAGCGAGAGCTCACCGGCCCTGCTGCCAGCTATTTCAAAGTCCTGCTCATCGTCCAGCTGACAGCAGACCGGCTCCAGCTCCAGCTCACGTATCTCGTCCAGCAGCAGTTCTATCTCGTCCGTCCCATATAGATCAGATACAGACGGTATATAACGTTGGGGTTGTTGCATTTCCCGTTGCGGGATGTGTCCCACATCACCGTTGCGTGGCCTGGTCGTGCTAAATCGGATGCCTCCCAATCGGCGCTCTTCCTTTCCGTCTCTCTCTCTCTCTCTCTCTCTCACACACTCTCACTCTAAATACCCCTCTCTCTCTCTCTTCTTCTTGTATCTCTCGTTGTTTGTCTCACTCCTTCACCTGCAATAAGCAACATAAAATGCGATATTAGTTACATGATAACCTCCACTCCAATCTCCCCCTCTGCCGTGTCTCCCACAGCTCTCATTAGACTCCCATGGGTGGTGCATAAGCATAATGGTAATTTGATATAACATGTCACTCATACGCCACGCAGGTCCACGCCAACATAGCGACTAAGCCGTGACCCCAGGAGAGATGCCAATCATAATACACTCTATCTACAGCAAAAGGTTATGTAAATAAAAACGTGACTTTTTCATATGCCAAAAGATAATGAAAATCTTAGATTTAAAAAAAAAACCAACAAATTTAATTAAAGAACCGATTTTCACAAGCTAAACATAGCTTGGCCTCTAGAATAATACTACCAACAAATTTGGAAATTCGGAATGTAAAAATCTGGCCCAAATAAAATGTAATTGAATACCGTGTTTTATCCTTCTACTGCCAAAACTTTGTCAAAGCTGAACCTATATTTAAAAAATATGCTAATTTTTTGACAAGGTTTAATCTTTAAAATAACATACATTTAAAGATGGATGATTTTCGATTTAGAGTCATGTACAAATACCCAATCAAAGATGAATTTTATGCATCTATCTGAACTGAAAAGATTTTCAATTCAGGTCATTATTTGCTCTCCAGATTAGTCTAGTTTAGTTTTGCATCTTAAATTGGTATACCAACTTTTCAAAATATTTGTCGCTTTATATTTAATATTACAAAGTGGAAATCCTGAACTTTTCTTTAATGCCAGACGAGAGCATTTAAAAGTCGACCTACTCCCAAAAGCACACACGTGTTGTTCGTTTTAATTTTGTCTGATTTGCGGCATGATACTGGTGAGCTGCTGTTGCCGTCGATTTCAGTTTGGCTGCCAACTCGAAATGAAATCAAATTGATTTCCCCCGTTTTGCAAACTGAATTTCCCCTGCGCGTATGCAATGCTTTTTTATATTTATATTTTATGTCACAACGAGGCAATTAACACAGACACCGAAGCACTTATGAGTGTGCCTGCCACATGTGTGTTGAGTGTGAGTGTGTGTGTGTGTGTATGTGAGGCCTGCCTGAAAGTCTGACTCCATGGAGTATTTCGGTATATTTCGAGCATTGCCAAAAGCTGTTTGCCTCCTGCCTGCCTTTATGCCAAATCGCATTTCCTTGAGTTGTCATAAACAGGACACAAATGAGGGTGCCTGTCACAGTTATTGTTGCTGCTTTTACTACTGCTGTTGCTGTTGCTGGTGTTGCTGCTGTTACTCCTCTTGTTCTTGTTGTTGTTGGTGGTTGCAAGGACTCACTGCTGGCAGCTGGACAACAACAAGCGGGCAGCTGCAGCTGCTGGCCAGTCAACCTGCAGTGAGGCTGAGGCCACATCCAGATCCTGATTGCCTTCCTTCTGCACATGTGTCTACGTGCCACTGTGGGAATTACTCTCTGTTTAACTGTATTTCTGAGTCGACATCAGAGGTGGTTGCGTGCCGCATAAATTTCCCTTAATAATTAAGTTTCCGTGATAGGAAAATGTACTTTAAGCTGAGGAAGTTCTGCGCATATAAGCATAAATAAATTGGACAGACGGGCATGACTATATCATCTAAGGTAATCATGCTGATCAAGAATATATATTTATTTCATGAAGTTTGAAATCCAAATTAAAATACCCTCCACAAGGATATAAAAGCAATTACAATTTTGTATCATCAGACAACTTAATAGTCGTAGTAAACATGCGGATTACACCCTACAAGTCTTATTCTAGCCATTACAAACTTGTCAAGCATAAATCTTTATTATTCTATCATAAATGTCAAATCTCAACCTCAAATATGTGTATAATATAATGAACACCTGTTCCTTTCCCATTGAAAATGAAATAAATCATTATTTACTGACTCTAATTAAAATTGTTCATTAATTGCTGTCCCAGCGTCGTCAATTTCCTTGCAATATGGGTGAATCGACTTGGCCGATCAAGAATGTATATGCATACTGCTGTACAATTGATTACACAATTATTACTAGTTTTCTTAAATATGAAAGTTGTTTTTTTCTTATACTAGGAGCACATCCTGTTGAGTCGTATTGAAATCGTGTCATGCAAGGCAGACACGACTTGTGCCCAACTCTGACTGCTGACAGAGGCAATGTAACCAGCTCGTTTTTGCTATTGTTGTTGTTTGGATGTGAAGTTGTTGTTGTTGTTGTAGCTGATGCTGCTGTCGCCTTTGTCCTTGCTCCAGTTTGAGCGCGAGGCTGTTGCAGCTTCACTGCCTGCCACCCTGCCTCCCTGCCTGTCTCTCCTGCTGTCTGATTATCTGTGAGCTGTTATCGCTGCATATCTGCAGCGCTGAGTTTAGCTGACTTGCGGCTGCATCAAGTGCATAATGAGTGTGCTCAGCTTTCAACCCATCTTTCATCATCCTCGTCATCATCATCCTCGCCATCATCATCCTCGCCATCATCATCATCATCATCATCATCATCATCATCATCATGCTCGTCATTGTTTCGTGCCCCTCTGCTACTGGTACTACTACCACTACAAAGACGTGCGCTATCTATTGAGGCATTAACCACTTGAGTTGCAAACAATAAATTTATAAACCCCATCAACCTCAAAATACTTGAGTTTGCCTCGGCTTTTTGCACAATTTAAAATCAATTATGCTCATCTGCATATAAACTGACTTGGACTTGTGAGCTTCCTGTCCCTCTGTCTATCTCCCTGTCATTGACTAGTGCCGCCACCTAGCGGAAGTGCTTCGCATGCAAATTTATTGTCAATGCTTTCAGCTTGATTGGGGTTGCAGTTTGGGAGGGTTTGGGTGGGTTATTTGGGTTGGGCTTTGATGGTTGAGGTGCCAACGTTTGCTGCATTTCTTATTTATGTACATGGCATAGACAATGGCTCGGCCTTTGTTTGAGTTTCTACTTCATATTTACAATGGCCTCACATGTGTGTGTGTGTACATGCGTACAAGTGAGTGTACTCATATTTGTGCCCATACTCATGCTCGTGTATTCGTTCCATTGTCGCACTCAATGGCCCGAAAGTTGCACCGTAAATAACTTTTAATAGAATTTCTAATGGAGTTGGCCACTGGGCGAGGGACCCAATACATTAAACATGTTAATATAGCCATTATTTCTGTATGGTTGCCTTCGCTTGACAAGTTATGATTATAGTCTAGCCTGAAATATGTATATATACTCAATAATTGATAACGATTATTGTTCGCTTTAAGCAAGTCTGTGAGTGTCCTTAATGCAGGTATTTCCTCATAAAATGTCTACTTAATGTGTGTACAACACGTCGTTTGGGCAATATTTGTTGAATAACTTAAGGTGCACCAGCAATTGAGATATATAAATATAAAATATAAAGGAGCATATATTAATTGGCTAAAGGTATCCAATATATTTTCATTATTTACTCGAAAATGAATGATTTATGGTTATATGATTAAAAGCTGTACCTGAAGTAACTCTTTTGGTGTAAAGTCTTAGCTGTTGTCAATATAAACCGCTTTTTCTATATGTTTAGATATGCATGCATTTGATAAAACTAATTTCAAATGAATGTCTGAAATATTTGGAGGACGTGTTCCGCTTCTTTTTACATTCGAATTTAACACTTTGATGGTGCTGTGGTGTTCCAGGATATTAAAGATCAAATTAACTCCTTCAGGTGCTTAAGCAAGGGTTTGCCGGGTAGCTTTCAGTCTTTTACTACCAGAGTCTATTGCTAGCTTTAAAGTTTTTTATACCCATGCCATACAATGTATTTTTAGTTGCTCTTAAGCGTTATGCTCCTAAAAGCTGCTTTTATGGCCACAATAATGATGATAATGATGATGACCTGACCTGGCCTGGGCTAGCAGCTGCGCCACGTGTCCAATGAGGCAGCATAAACTGGTTTTCGGAATCATCGCGATTTATGCCGCTGTGGCATCGACTTTTGCCCCCAGAACTGCGTATAAATTGTAGCCCAAAAATACATTGGAATTTTATGTGGTGCGATGAAAGTGACGGAAAGGGGGCAACAGCGGCGGACAGGCGGACAGGCGGACAACGGCCCGTAGACAACTTGACTCTCGTCCTCAATTCTCAATGGCGACGTTCAATGCGGCTGGCGCTGAAGATGTGCGGCAAGGGCTATGGCTGTGACTGTGTAGGGAGAGGAGGGGAGGAGGGATAGAGGAAACAAAAGGGGGTTTAAGCTGAGCTAAGCTGGCAGTTGTCTGTTGCCTGCTGCTTGCTGTTCGCTGCTTATTATGCCGCCGAGTTGCCCGCTCTTCGCCACTTGCGGAATTATCGATTACGAATGAATATTTCATTAGCAGACATGCAGAAGAGTCAGGAGAGCGAGACAGAGAGAGAGAGAGAGAGAGAGAGAGAGAGAGGGAAAGGGGTCAGGCAATGGCGGTGGCTCGGCTAGCTGTTTCACCTTACGCTTATGCTGTCTTCATGGCCTTCCGTTTCCGGGAAATGGTTCCGGTTCGCCCCATTTGGGCCATTCAATTAAAATGCAGTGCGACAACAACAAGAAGCAGATGAAGCAACAAAGTGCAGCTGACAACTGCCAACATTTCGATTTACAACATTACCAGATGTACAAACATTAAGCATAATTATTTCCACTTATTTTTCAATTACATTCTTTTTTGCCCTTCTTTCGCATAATTATACCCACTGGGTAATTAATGCGGTGCAGAAAAACACAGACGCTGCCAAATGAGATGGGCTCTTGAGGGGGCATAAAAGTCGTTGCATTTCAGGTTAATAGCAGTCTCCATTTGGAATGCATAAATATAATTTTGTATCTTCTTCTCTCCATTAGAGGAAAATTTCTTTCAGCTCGAAGGAGATGCTTAGAGTCCTTAGACAACTTTTGTGTCATTTGTTATTCATTCAATATTATTCATTTGCATCCGTTAAGTGTTCCCTTTTTTGCACCGTATTTTAGTCGAAGGACTTTATTTAAATGCAATACAAATGCAAAATGTAAATAAAGAAGTAAGCTGAAAAATTGCAATTATAATTTAATGCATTCGTAGAATGTAAAGGTATAAAATAATAAAAATGAACTTCCGAAAATTTAAGATTTCTTAGTCAAAAGTTTTATAAACATATATATATACAATATATATAAGGTAGTCAAATTATAAGTATTATTATTATACATAAAGCAAACTTTGACGCACAACTCATTCGAACAAATTGTTCAGCACCAAGAATAAAATTTTTTTAAGTATAGTCAGAATTTTATGGAATGCAAAACTAATTTTTAATTTTTCTAAAAACCGATTTTCTATAAATTTAAGCAGAAATTTGTTTATAAATTTTTAAGAAATCTTTTTAAGAGCACGTTTATTATATTTTACCGACAATGAATTTCCGGCCGGTAAGTTGTATGGATGTAAAACAGTTCAACTTGTAATAAAATGAAATATAAAAAATCGAAAATGTTTAGAACATGTGTGAATTGTATCCGCGACGGCGGGCAACGGATTATTTTCGGACACCGGAGCCGAGGGAATCGATTCAGAGCCGCCAAGCCGAGCACGCAACTCAACCGGAAATCGCGTCGAGGAATTCGATTAATACGATACCACCTAGAGTCCAGACGACGCAGACATCGGAAATACGTTTTCTACGCAACATTCTCTACTCCTAAAGGATATCATGATTTGCAAGAAGCCATTGGATTGTGAGAAGAAATTTTTAAATTTACTGTTGTCACTTTTTTTTTTTAAAGGTAAAACAAGTATAAAATATATAATGTAAAATGCAAAAGTGGATTTATCTATTGAAACTATTAAGCTATGGATCTATATACTACTCCTGCTCAGCTGATATCCCCTTCATAGTCGAAAGAAATTCATAGGATGAACGAACTATCCAAAAACCATAGGAAAAATGTTGCAATTCGATAAGTCCTTTCCACATATATATAGAGATCACATTACTTTTAATAGGGTAAATGCCATAAATGTTACACTTATGTTTACACTATGTAATTACTTAGTAGAAAGTACTTCATAAATATTGTCAGTCATTAACCTTTATGCAAACTCAACGCTTAAATCCACGCAACACAAAAGTTATTTATCAGTGGTCTATGAATATATTAAAGAAAACTTTTGACAGATCTATTTAGGGACTCATTACGCTCACGCTCTCATCTCTCATTTGTCGCCTTCTCTCTCTCTCTCCAATTCTCTGACTCTCTCGCTTTCAGCTGGCGCGTTAACGCTTGTTAATTCCCAAAAAAGGTGCTTAGAAATAATTATAGGCAGCTTTCGGGCGCAGGTGGCGCTGCTTACGTAAGCTCCTAACGGGATATTTAGCGTGTGTGTGTATTAGTGTGTGTGTATTAGTGTGTGTGTGTGTTTGTTGTATGTTCTGCATATCATTGCTTTATATGTGCTTATGCGCGTCTCGCTGAAATGAACACCTCAGTTCTGTGCCCGCTAGGACATGCCATGAACTCACCTGACACGTGAGCTCCATGGAAAAAAAAGGAGGCCTCAACATGTCATGGACGCGAATGCCGCGACACGCAAGCCCCAAAGTCCCAGAACAGCTCCCTCTCCATCTCTCCTCCTCTTTACCAACACGTGACGCTCCTGCTTCTACCCCCTGCCCCCACAGAGTTCATGCCGCATGTCGCTTTCACTTTTGCTACAAATCTCCGTTCGGCTCTTGTTTTACGCTACATAAATGCGGACATAAAATGCGGACCGCGAAGACGCGAAGGAGTTAACCAAATCGAGCTTCTTTTTTTCCTAATACAATGGAGTTAAATCTTTAAAATATAATTTTATGTTTGCTTTTATTATTATAATTTTTCCTCTTTTTTTTTTTTTTACAACTTCCAACTGTGAACTAAGATTTGTTTCTTAAGATATAATTTGATGTACACAATTATTATTATAATTTTTTCGATATTCCTGTTCGCTACTTATTTATATTTTTCTAATTTCCAATCGCATTCCACAGAACTTGTGGCGGGCGGTGCAACAACCTCGTTTCGCTGTTTGATTGCTGCATGTGCCTCGGGCGACCTTGAACCACTTTCATTTCTAATTTTGGTTGTGGACAAGTTGTAGACGAGACGTGCAGCTTGGAATAACTTTGGATGTCGACCCAAAATGTGGCAAAATGTGCGCTCGCTTCTCATATTGATAATGAGCAAAAGCCAAACTGCAATTTAATTGCACATACAAGTGGCTATACAATTAATGTGTGTGTGTGTGAGCTAGGTGTGTTTGTGTGTGTGTGCGTGTGCAGCTGCTATGACAGCAACTAAAAATAAACAAATGAGCCAAGCGCCCAAAAGTAATGCGAAGAGCGAAGAGAACTGAGCTGCGAACTGGAACTGAACTGAGCGCAAGGAGGCGACTGCGCGTGGAGAGCGTATAAGAAAGAGAGAGAGAGAGAGAGAGGGAGAGAGAGAGCATAGCAGCAGAGCAGCAGCATAGTAAGCTGAAGCAGCGAGAGGGAGAGAGAGTGAATTGTGGGCAAAGGATTTAAAGGAAGCAAAATTGCTGCAGACAGGAGTTTGCCCGACTCGCCTGTCACTTCCTGTATATGTAAGTATGTGTCTGTGCGTGTGTGTGTGTCTGTGAGCATTTTGTTTGTTAGCAAGCACGTTGAGCTGCCCCATCCCCCCGCCCCATACACACACACAGAGAGACGCTCTCACACTTCGCTTCCTTACGGCTCAGTGGCTCCACTTAAAAGTGTTATATTGGCATTTGGCTACAATTTGAGCTGTCCAAAAGCGTTATGATTTATGCTGTGCTGCATATGTACACACATCCATAAGTGTGTGTGTGTGTGTGTGTGTGTGAGTGCTGTAATCGCTGCTCTATTTTTAGTTGAGCAACAACAAAAGCAGCGCGCTGCAAAGCATGCTATAAACTTGTGTTGTTCTCGTTGTTGTTCTTGTTGTTCTTGTTGTTGTTGTTGTGGGCGGCAACATTTCGTGTATACAACTAGTTAAATAAAAAGAATTTCCCTTACATATATATATTTTTTTTTAGTTTTTTTTCCATTTTGCACTTGACCCACCTTTTTCTTTTTGGTGTGTGAAATTTATTTGCAGCTGCTGCTGGGCTTTCTTCTTTTCTTTTTTTTTGTTTTTTGCTATTTTTGTAGCAAATGCGCGGCACGTTCCCAAAAAAAAAAATAAAGAAGTTTCTATTTCAATTTCGATTTCGATTTCTTTGACAAGGGCACGCAGAAATCTAACAAAATTGCCTTTTTATATGACTTTAAATGTTCTGTGTGTTCTGTGTGTGTGTGTTTGTGTATAAGTGTGAGAGTAGTTGTGTGTGTGTGTGTGTGTGCTTTTCTGGCTATGCTCGTCAAGTTTTATGTCAGTTCATTCATCGGCCAAAATGTTGAGCACAAAACGCAGGCTGTTGTCGCCTCTGCATGTGTATGCGTGTGTATGAGTGTGTGTGTGAGTGTGTGTGTGTATTTGTGTGTGTGCTGCGTGCTCCTGCCAATGTCAGATTTGTATTTTAGCGTCGATTTCGTTTTGGCTGCCTGCATATTTTCCACACGTTTCGTTGAATTACTTTTTTTTAAGCACTTTTAATTATTGCAATTGCAAACAACACATTTTCACACACATTTTGTAATTTGGCTTGGCATGTGTGTATGTATGTATGTATTTGTATTATTTACTTTTTTTAATTTGCGATAAAATGCAATTTACATTTCGCATTTGCATTTGTTTTGCAGCGGGCAAAATGAAAATCATTATTCAGTGCGCCCGAAAGTGTGCAACGTTTTTTCCCTGTGCTGTCTTTTCGGGCCATTCTGCTGCTTTGAACATTTGCCTACACACACGCAGGCACACACACAGACACAGCGCGCGCACACGCACACACACACAGACAGACAGAGAGACAGGCTTGTGATGCTTCTGCTTCTGCTGCTGCTGCTGCTCGTATCGTATACAGATAGATGGACGCACTCACGGACACAGAGAGAGAGAGAGAGAGATAGAGAGATAGAGATAAGCGTTCGCGGCACAAGTTGCTGCTGTGTGTGTTTGTGTGTGTGATGTGTGTTGGTGTGTGCTTGAGGAGAGAGCGGGGAGAATAGGCAGAGCGACGTTAGCGACGTGCAACACAAAGTAGCAGCAGCAGCAGCAGCAACTACGACAACAACAACAACAGCACTAGCAACAACAACAACAGCAACAATAAGAACAGTTATAATAGTAGAGGAGCAGTGGCAACACTTTCGGGACACGGGCAGCGGAATAGCCTAAAATCGAGACACGTTCGGACGTTAAAAAATAAACGACAACCGACAACGTTGAAAGCCAGCAAAAGACTGAGAGCCCAAAAGCTGTCGCGAGCCCAGCTGCTGAGGCCATCAAGAGAGAGCGAGAGAGAGAGAGAGAGAGAGCGTGAAGAGAACGTGGAAGAGAGAGAGAGTGAGAGAGTAACAGCTGCAAATCCTTTGCAGAACTTTAACTGATTCCGGAACTAAGCAGACTGACTATTTTTAGTTATTAATGATAAGGCTAATTAATATTTAAAAATATTTAAAAAGATAAAAAATATGAGAAACTGTATTAAGTCTAAGATAAATACTGATTGTCATACGGAATCATGGATTCATCTCTATATTAAATCAAAGAACATTGCTTTTAATATTTTAGACATAAAATAAATAAAAATATATTTTAAAAATCGCTATTTACCCAAAAAAAAAATATAAATAAAATTCAGCTCGAAATTATCTCAAGTAGTAACTGTTTTTTTCAAATTTGTCAAAGTAATCACAAACAATTCAATAATTGTCAAATTTATATAACTACATACATAAAACATACCCGATTTAAATACAACTCAAATTCATTTGAAACTTAAAATAAACTAGTTCGAATTCCTCTTTTATTGAGGGATTCCTTTTGCAATGGATGCTTACTGCAAATGTGTAATGCACGGGGAAAAACAATACAATAACAATAACAATAACAATAATAACAATACGCGCAGCTCCCAAAAGGTAGTTGAAAATGTGTCAATTGACTAAATCTTAAAACTAAAACCAATTCCCAAATTCAAATACAGCATGAGGAGCATTATGCAGAGCAATCGCAGGTAAATACGCAAGTGAATCAAAAGCATGCGCCAAAGTTGTCTGTGCATCGCAACAAGGTGCATCGTCTGGAGGGATCCAAGGAAGTGATGCAGAAATCCACACAGACTTGCATGCTGCGCACTCAGCCGGAGTCGTTGCATAAAATGCGATTGCCAAAGCAGCAACAGCAAAAACCACCAATAACAAAAACTTATATGGTATCCCGGCCTGCTCAGCCTGTGCAACCAAATCGAGGGCAGTTCAAATCTACTTTTAATGTGGATTGCGTATCAGGTTTGCCAAGTGAGGATTGTTTGATTGAATCAAAATTTGCTAAACCCGAACTGGACGCCAGCGGCGATTGTGTGCGGTATATAAATCCCAATTATGGCAAGGACTCCAGCAAGACGATGCTATCCGAGGTGTACGAGGGAATGCGTAAGCGATCCGCTTCCCCGCTGGAAACGACCAGCGAACATTGCAATCAGATTAATGCTCGACTCGATGCACTCCTGGCGGAGGACAGTGAATCGGTGAACATCGCAAATTCGATGCGAATGGTGATAGCGGGCAAGAGCGGCACCGACTTGCGTGCCGTTGTGCGCTCGCAGATACAGATGCAGCACGAACTCACCCAATCTATATCGAAAATTGCCAAAAGCACAGAGCGTCTCGTTATGGGTTCAAATCCACAGAAAATGCCGTCGCAGAAAGCGATGGATAATTTAGATGTGAACAATGCGTTGGTCACTGCCAAGGATGTGATTAGCCTCAAGGTGATGGCGCCAATTATGCGACGCGTTCAACGCTTATATTACAACAATCTGCAAGAGAAAATTGAGATCTTAAATGATATGGAAAGGGCCTCGGAACTCGTCGACGAAATATACGAATCTTTCAATGTGCAGCGGAATGCGAAATAGTCGCTAAAATAACTGCTGCATTTATAATAAAAATCGTCATAATAGTTTAGTTGATTGAATTATACTTTTAAGTCATAATAAACACAATATAAAATTGAGAGCGAATTTTCAAAAACAAGTGAAAGGATAACATATGACCCGCAGTGTGACCAGCTACGTTCAGCGTGAAAATGCCCAGAAAAGCATCGATATTTTATGGCATCGATATCGCGAACTACAGCTATTAAACCACATTTAGTTCTTATTTAGGTATTAATATTTAAGCTACAGCCTAAACCAAATTATTGCTTAATGTAATAATATGAATATTATTAAAATTGGAAAATTTGTGGCTTGCTGCTAACAGTTAACAGTGCAAATGTTAATGTAAAAGCTGCAAGTCGCTTGTAGCCCTGGTTTCAAATGGTGGGGGTCTCACATTCCCAAACATTGATTTTTCGTTATTGGACGCCAGTGAATGCTGCCAAATTGGCCTAACGCAAGCCAAATTTGTTAACAACAACTAAAGGAATTTATCGGCTAACAAAAATGAGCGGTAAGCTTACAAAAAAAGAAAACTACTACAACAGCAGCTTAAACAATGTGTGCAAAACACAGCATTGTTTATTATTTTGCTGCTGTTGGCGTCTGTGGCATGCATTGCAATGTGGAGCCTACTTTGAGGAGGGGTTGCGAGTTCAAGCGTCCGCCCAGAACCACCCCCAACACCTGCCACGATGACTTCATCAGTGTTTTTCTTTCTCTCTCTCTCACTCACACTTTTGCTTCTGGCGCTCTCCTTTTGTCTGCGACAGGCGACGACGAAAGCTGCAGCGAAAAGCAGACGCTCAACTTGTCCAAGCAGCAGCTGAAGAAGGTGCCAAAACAGGACGATGCCCAGAATATACGCAAGCTAATCCTCGACGAGAACGAACTGCAGAAGATCGACAACATTGACTCGTATCTCAAGATCGAAACGGTGCCTATGCCATATATATATTAATAGTTATATTTATATATACCCAACTTCGAGTGTAATTAATATTTTTATGTAAATCCTTTCCAGCTGTCGCTGAGCAAAAACCAGCTGCTTCGGATGTATGGCGTCTGTCGACTGCACTGTTTACGTGAGCTGAATCTCTCCTTCAATGGCATACTTTCCATTGAGGGTCTGAAGGAGTGCGTCCATTTGCGTCTGCTGAATTTGGAGGGCAATAACATTAAGACCATCGAGCATTTGAATACGAATGTGAATCTGGAGTCACTGAATCTGGCGGACAATAGCATTGGCAGCATCTCGGATGTGTCCTATTTGCGTTCACTGCGCGAACTTAATTTGCAGGGCAATCGTTTGACGCATCTGCGCCAGTGTGACAAATATTTGCCCGTCTCGCTGGAGACGCTAGCGCTGGCCAAGAATAGCATCAGTGATTTGAATGAGATTTGCACGCTGTCGCATTTGAGCAATCTGCTGAGCATCTCCATAACGGAGAATCCGTGTGTGACCATGACACTGGGACCAAATAGCACGGAGTAAGTTTAGCTCCCGCTGTCTGGGATCAGTTGTGATAGACTAGAACACTTCTGACTCATTCCTCTCTTTTTATAATTTAGTGGCTTTGATTATCGTCCCTTTGTGCTCAACTGGTGCATGAGTCTGAAGTTTATCGATGGCTACGTTGTCGATCCCATTGAGAGCCTCAAGGCCGAGTGGCTTTATAGTCAGGGCCGTGGTCGCCAATTTCGCGTCGGGGAACAGGCGCCACTGGCCAAATATTTGAGTTCGGTGTGCCCGCTGGTGGGCAAAGCGCTGGAGAATGAAAATGATCGCAAGTTGAGGCTAATCTTGAGCAAGGCGCAGCATCATCAGCGACAGCTGCAGGAGGAGATCCTGGACAATGCAAATAGCTCGGCAAACACATCGCCATCCTCGCATCGCAAGAAGCCAACGAGTCGCATTCAATCACCACGCTGTGAGATCTGCAGAGCTGCTCTTCTATAAAATATAATTACTAATTGTAATCTTTGTAGTTTCGCGACTGAGTGGTCGTCAGGGCTCACCCGAGTCCATGGCGAATAGCTATCATGGGAATAGCTGCAACAATAGCATCAGCAGCGACAATGGCATCTCGAATCATGCGCTGCAAATGAGCACATCTCTGATTGAGAATATTCGGAATGATGGCGATAACTTCTCGCTGGCCAGTCTGTCCGGCATGTCCAGCAGCGTGACCACCAAAACCTATAATTCAACTGAATCAACGCCTCGCAACATAACGCCAAATCCCTACAACGGTTCGTCATTTAAAATCTATATTTATATTTATATATTTGTGTTAATATTTATATTTATTTATTTAGAGCAACAGTACATTGGCCAGACTCCTGCTGGGGGCCCCTTGGCTGCTGCCTCTAAAATGGTGCCAGTGCCGGAGACGCTGATGAGTCCCGATGTTTGTCCCGCCGCCGTTGCCCAGCGTGTCACCGTCACAGCGCTCAGCTCGTCGCAGCTGCACAAAACCAAAGTCACAAAGAACAAAGGTAGGCCAAGTGAAATAATTGTACATATTTAAACTCTAAAATATTGCACATTGCCAGACAACAAACTGAATTTGCCGCGTGTGCGCAGTCCACAAATGCGACGCATTCAGAGTCCCACAAGCAGTCCACGCAAAACAGATCGCCCGCAAAATCAGCAGCAGCAACAGCAACAACAGATGACTGCAACTGCAACTGCCACAGCGACAACAACCGATGCTGGTGGCTTCAGCACCGATGACGATGGCGAACAGATCAACATTGAGAAACTAAAGACCATACGGAAAATGGCAGCACAGCGACAGCAGCAGCTGGACAACAACAATCTCAATTGTACGGATCGTCTGATAGAGCATGTGACTGAATCCTCGGCGGTGACCATACAGAAAATGTGGCGTGGCTATCATACGCGCAAGAAAACCAAAGACATTGCCGAGAAGCTGCACAAACAGCGCACACACGAGTACATCGAGTAAGTGCAGCCAAAGATTCTATATATCTATATCCATATCTATATCTTCATGTTCCACAGCAAACTCAATAAGGACATGCTGCTGACGAAGGCGCAGTTGCAGAACGAGCGCAAGATTCAACAGCTGCAGATGCAGGCCATCAATGCGCTGTGGAAAAAGGTGTCCACCATGCAGGTCGAACCCAAAGCTGAACAGGCTGAGAACAATACTGAGGATGCTGGTGGCAGCACCACCAGCAGCAGCAATCCAGGACAACAACAATCTCAAGTTTGTTTGGATCACAATTCGGCTGCGGTTGTCAATGATTTGGCCAAGCGTTGCACTCTGCTCACGGATCAGGTGCAACAGCTGCAGAGCTCCATTGGCACCATTGTCAATTGTCTGACCATGGTCTGCAATTTGCCGCAGGATGCGCTGCGCAAGCACATCAATTCCTCGGACGGTGAGGATACGGACTATAACAATTTTGAGCCAAGGGACACAAGCTCCACGCAAACGGATCTGATTGCTGTTCATACGCCACAATTTGAGGATTTGAGCAATTTTCCGTTTACGAAACTAAGACCATCAACACTGGCGCTGGAATCCAAGCATGATGCACTGCACGAGGAGGAGGCGACTGAGGCGACGGCGTCTGCGACTGCGCAGGAGGAGCATAAGGAAAATATTGAGATCTGTGATGCACAGGAGTAGAATTTATTAGCCCCACGACAAAAAGCTTTCCACAATAACATAAAAAAAAAATAGATCTCAGCGCGCTTTTTAATTCGTAGGCTTTTTAAGCTTTCTGCAAGCAATTTTAATTTTTGGTTACAACAAAGAAAACGCCGCAAAACAATTGATGTATTTTTTGTTGTTTTCATTTTGGGTTTTATGTATGTAGTAGTAAAGACACAATTTTGTTGTTAACAGAGAAGAAACTAATTGGTTAAAAAATATACATAGCTAAACACTTTTGTAATGCACAAAAAAAAAACGAATGCATCGCAATTCTTCCTCAGTCTTCAGTCTTCTTCACTGCTGCTCTCATCCGTTTCATCTTCATCATCATTTTCTAGGCTCACCGGTCGATTTGTGTTTGGGGAGAGCGGTTCATCGGAGTCCGAGTTGGAATCGGTTCTTTGCGGCGCCTGCGTCGCCTTCTTGGCAAAACGTTCCGGCCAAATGCCTGACTTTGTGTACTCTTTGACATGCTCGGGCGTTAGAATTTTACTGATTTCCGCTTTGACTTTGTCGCCCTCCTCGATGGGCTCGACGAGCAAGTAATCGCCTCGCTTGACCCACACATTCTTGCGAAATTTGTTGGGCATGGAAACTGCGAAATCAAAATCAAAACAAAACAATGCAATCAATTTATCGATTAACGCCTATTTCACCAGACAAATGTGCTCACCTAGAAAGTTATCTGCGTCCGTTGTGGGCGCTTCAACCTCGTGTAGATTATTGCCGCGACTGCTGACCACACGCACGATCTGCTGCTGGTCCGTGGGCAGCGAGTAGTCGTCCTCCATCATCTCCTTGAGCACATGTTTGCGTCGCGTTGTATTCGGATGCGACATGTTGTTATTCTGTTTATATTGTTTGTTTTGTTGCGGGACGCCAGTTTTGCAGCCAGATTTCGGTTTCCTCAAAATGGTAAGGCGATAACAGCGGTGGTCGGTCGATAATTTAATACACAAACTTTCAGTGTTGCAAAGTGTTGATATATATTTATTTTAGCGCTTTTTTAAATATAGTATTTTTTTGAAATTCGAATGTTTTGAGTAATTTCGCATGGTGTGCGAGGCGTTTTTCTCCTTTTATTATTATTATTATTATTAAGCTTACATAAAAGTACTGCTAATTTTGAACTAACAACTAGTTTTTGCTGCGTCGCACGCGTGCTTTGCATGAAATCCGCTCTTTAACGGAGATATCGCGACGATTTTCCACAGGCACCTGTTTCGGTTTCTTGATGCTGTCAGAGAGAAAAACAAATAAAAATCGTTAGATGGCTGCAGTAAATTTTGCTTATTTGAGTTATGCTTACATTTCATTTCTCAGGTTTGTTAGTTCCTTCTTCCAAATGTCCTTAAAATCGTTGGTGAAATTAGTCCAATAACCAAAGAACTGATCGGGCATACACTGAGCCAATGTCAGAGTACAGCCCTTGGGCGAGAAGTGATAGAAGCGCATAGTTTCCAGGAAGAGATCACGGCACTCATCGATAAGCTGATTCAATTTGGCAACCGATTTCTCAGCACTCGCCGTAAACTCTTCCATTTTCGACTTGAAGGGTTCGGTATTATTACTGGATGCACTCAGCACCAGGGCCGTAGTCTGCTTACAAGCTGTGCAATGAAGAAGGGATATGAGTCGCTGTAGAGATTTATTTCTATAGTTGCAAACTTACCCATGAGCTTCTTGTTGAGTTCCTTGATCTGTTGCTGCACCTCGTCAAAGTCCAGCTGGGCGGCACGTTCTACATCCGAGGGTTCGGGAATGGGCAGCGTCATCTCCTGCAGCGTTCGCTCCTTGCGTCGTTGTGCTATGTAGGTGCGCACAATGAAGTGGAGCAGTGTTGTGTGCGACTCCTTCGACTTGACATCCTTCAGTTTGCCAAGTATATCGAGATTGAAGCCATCTGCCTGACCACGCTGTCGATTGCCACCGTTCATGTAATTGCCCAGCGTCAGTATGATGGAGAAGACAAGCTTCAGATCCTCGCTCTCCATCAGCTGCTGCGAGAGCTGGGAAACAATCTCCAGCTTGCGCAGGAGTAGCGTCACAGATTCCTCGAATTCGGCTTGGAAGACTATGCACGAGATGCGCTCACTGGCCATGGAGATGAGGGAGATGTCGCGCAGAAATTGCTCCGGATGATCGAGTGGAATATCACCGCCATCCGCCTCCTTGATACGCTGCAACTCTTCATCCGTTGCACGCATATGACTAATCTGCTGCAGCGTTTCGAGGCTAATCACTGAGGTGTCCACATTGTAAATCGCATGCTCAATCTCACTGGACGGCATATGCAGACTTCTGGAGAAGATGCCCACATTCCTCGAACGTTTCGGATCCAGCACCTTGATGGATTTCTCACGTTTCAGTTTGAGCTCCTTTGGCTTGCTAACTGGTGCGATTGCCTGGCGCGAGAAGAGCTCGGTAAATTCATCGATATTGTCCAGTGGCGTCTCATCAATCTCAGTCCACATCTCTTTAGTGGGTGGAGCTGGTGCGGGTACCGCTGCGGCGGCAGGAACTGGCGACGTTGAGGGAACAGCAGCTGTGGGCAGCTCTTCCGGCGAGCTGGTGTTATTATCTGTGCTATCCGTTGAGTTGGCCACCGAAGGTGGACGCGGCACGGGCGGCGCACACGTCACAATCCGTGTCCAATAAAGCGGACGCATCGGCTTTGGCGGATTAACGGCACTCTTACGTTGTACTGCAGATAAATAGAATGAAAGGAGATATATCGGATATTCCCAGTAGCTTTTCGATTTCACTTACCGCTTGTGCGAAGGAACCAGTTGCCCTCAGCGGGATCTGGCAGTGGTGCGGGCGAGATCGCTGTGCCCGACTTGGAGGTGCTCAGCGGGGGTGGCGGCGGTGGCATATTGCCAGCATTGGGAAGGGCAGGCGGTGCTGGTGGCGGCGGCGGGGGTGGTCCACCAATACCAGGTGGTGGTGGTGGCGGTGGCGGTGGCGCACCGGCGGCTGCTTGGCCGGGCACAGGCGGTGGCGGTGGGGGAGGTGGTGGCGGCGGCGGTGGTGCTGCTGCTGCTGCAATTGCTGGAGCAGCAGTTGCACCATTTTGTTGCTCTTGGGCAGCGGCACACTTGCAGGAGCCGAGACACAGTTCGTCATTGGTTTGACTGGCGGCATCCGCAAAGCATTTGCTCTCCTGCGGTTTATTGTACTCGTAAATGGTTGCCTCGCTGGCGTTGAGGAGCTCCGTGAAATTGATGCAGCGCTTCGAGGGACGCCTCGGTGGCTCATCCACGCTGCTCAGCAGCTCATTGACAACAGCATGGACTTCGGCCAGAGTGGCACAATTGAGCAGACGCTTGCGCAGTATGTGTTGCAGTGTCTTCTGGCTGTCGGTCAGCGTGGAGCCGGCGCCTTCCAAGGGTTTCTGTGAGGCAGCTGCCGCTGCTGCAGCCGCCGCTGGTGTGCTGGAGAATGGCCAGGCGGCAACCTTATCCAGTTTGCCGGGTGTGAGGGGCAGCGATGTGGTTGGCTGCTCCGTGTGCGTCCACTGGTACATCTCATAGGGCTGTAGCAAAAAGAATGGGGTATAAAAATAGAGAGTTAAGCTTGGAGATTAGCCCATTGACTTCTAATTGCAGCTGGAGTGCAGCAAACCCTTTGAGCCCGGGCTCAAGTGTGTGTGTGTGTGTTGTGTGTGTGAGGCAAGCGACAAAAACTTAAAAGCCATCCGCTCTCTAACCCCATCATCATCTATCCCTACCCACTCCCCTCTCCTCTCCAACCCTTCTCTTGCTCCTGTTATCCCCAGGCGTTAACTACACTCTGAACTTTGAAAGCTCAGCTCTTCAAATTGTGCACACGTCATTGTTGCCACTGTTACTGTTGCAAGTGTTTCCCTTTGGCAAATTTCCCATTTGGGGAATGCAAAGTCAGTTTTTAATGCCTTTCGGAAAATTGTGCCAGCATAACTATGAAATCCAGTTGGATTTGACTTTTTGATATTCAAAAGTTGTTGCTGGCCAATATTTGTCTAGCTGACAAATGAGTTTCTTAACTTGGCTTTTACGCAGAAAAATATTTGTATTTTTTATTAGTATTTAATTTAATTTATTCCCATTAATGTTTAAGATATGTTAAATCTTTGATTTGTTTTATTTTTAACATTCTAAGTTTTAAATATTTGCAATTTTTCATTTCTAGTTGTAAATAATTCTAGAAATTTTAGTTTTTTTAAATATGTTGACTGTTCATATTTATTCATTAATTAAAGAATTTGTATTTTTAGAGAACATCTTTTATTTGTATAGTTTTTGCACTAGTACAAATATTATCCCAGCTATTTTTTAGGGCATTTCAAGTTCGACATTGCCTCACTCTGGTTTTTATGCGTTTCTGGATTTATTGTTGCACTTTTTGCTGCTTACCTATTTTGGCGTTGTCATGCGAGAGATTCATTTGGGTTGGGTTGGGTTATCTTGAGATTAGGATGCTTGAGGTGGAAGGGTTGCGCGTGATTTGAGGGCGGCGAAAATGGCTCTTTTGGGTTGCACGCAATGCGACGGCATGCAAATTGTTGGCACCGCCAAAGTGCCAACACTTGAGTAAATGGCATTAAGTGCAATAAACGTGACCACGCCCACTTACATACAGACACACACACAGACACCCACACAGAGACACACAGAGATACACAGAGACACACTCTCACAGAGACACTGCTTTCCCAGCAGCTGAGTGTGGCAGCTGCTGCACTTGATTTACATTCGTCATACCAATGGATGATGCCACAACTCATCAGCATGATGTGATTAGCGGCTTGTGGGGGGTATGAGTGTGTGGGTGTGTGTCTGTGTGTGTGTGCGTGTGTGACTATGTGTGAAACGGCTTCACATAATTGAATTTGAATATTTAATTGCATTTCGTGACGTTGATTTAAGAAGTTACTAAAAGAACAATTGAGTTACTGCTGATTAGTTTTGAAAATGCTTACCTAAATACTTTTGACTACTTTTGACTTGAGTAGTTGAGTAATTATACTAAAATCCATATTAAGACTAATCATTATCTACTTTTGAGATTGAATGATATTTGATATTGGTACTATTACAAGCCAACTTTTTTGATTCAGGCTCAAGTATCAAAATATATTCTGATTGTGTTCGTTTTGAGTGTGTTATATATATTAAATATTTAATATAGTTAATATTTATACATGCATATGTATATTTCTTGCTATTCTTTTTTAAATCTTCATTGACAGTTAGAATACTGCTTTAATCATCTAAAAATCTGTTTGCATTCCGCACCAAATCTCTCATTTTATTGTTGCACTAAATTGGTTTTTCTTATCTAAAATCAGGTCCACATTAATACCCTGTAATTTGAACTATTTACGTTTCGTTGCGCTTAAAAATCCAAAAAACCCAACTGAGGAGCAGGGGGTCTGTTTAAGAAAAGTTGTCCCTTCTTTGATTTTCATTTTGAGATGCGATGCGCCGAGCACAAAAGAATAATAAACGCTAAACTTGCCGCAAAGTAATAAAAACGCACAAAACTTTCAATGAGCTGCAACAACAGTAAAACGAGAGTGGCGAAAAATGAGGGAGTAGGGGGTTGGGGGTTGGGGGTTGGACTGTTTAGGGGGGTAAGTTGTATGGGAATCAAGCTTAAGCTTGCCAAGTATCTTTCTGGCCTGTTGCCCAAAAACTTGATGACGCGCACATTGACAACGGACACGCAGGACACGCAGGACACAGGAGGACACATTGGGGCGCAAGTAGTAAGAATTTTGTGATATCATAATCTGGTCGAGCTCAAGTATCATCACATAGAAAATCACTTAACGCTGTTGTCTGCTCGTTTTTGGCGGACTTGGACTTTTGCTCAGAGGGATTTGATGTTAAGCTGCTGTGGCTAAAACTTTTGGCCTAAACTAATTTGGGCCAAAAGACGAGTGCTTGATTATTTGTTAGTGTTGTTCTTGTGTGTGTGTGCGTGTTTGTGTGTGGCAAGCCAACACTAACAGTATCTGAGTCTCACAGCCTCAGTCTCAGTCTCTCAGTCTCATTCTCTTGTGTAATGTCTTCAGGCCAATAACACTTAACGTTAACTATAGGTAAGAGCCAAAGAAAGCCAACACGTGAATGTAGTAGAGGGTGTTGTGGGGAGCATTTTCTCAATTGTGCCTAGGTTAACCAGCAATTAAAGCAGCAAAGCGTCAAGAGATTTTGTTTAGATAGCCTTTCAGAGCCACAGGAGTAGCTGAGGCGGTGTGGCAACGAGGAGGGACGGAGCAACGTTGGCCAAAAAGCAAACGTATTACATAGTCCATTAGTCAGCCGCACCCAGAGTGAGTTGGAGAGTCAAACAAACTGCTGCTGCTGCAATTACCCCCAAACACCCCTTCGCCCACTTCCTTAGAGAAGTTACTCAGCGTTTGAAGAGTGCTTTAAAGGGGTAAACTAAAATTGTGGGAATTTTAATTTATAATTCTGAGTTCATGCCTCGAATATAGTATTTTTTTAATTATTCATGTTTGTAATATAATAACTTTGTCCAAGTACAACTAGATATTATAAAGAATAATTTGTGGTTCTATATAACCATTTTAATATTTGAGATTTCGTTATAAATTTCTCATTATTTGTAATTTTGCACAGAAAACGGTATTTTTCAAATTGAAGAGTTTGTTGTTATCGGTTATAGATTTGCATCTACATAAGTTATCGATAACATAATGGAAACTTTATGTGTGTATCTACCATACGAGAACTATTGTTCAAAATTTAAAGTTTATAGTTTAAATAAATCGGTTTGCAGACTGACAAACGGATATGGCTAAATTGATTCGGCTATTGAATCAGGAATATCAGGAATATATAGATAATTTATGGCTCTTTCTACCTATTATAAAGATTTGCACAAGTTTTCTTAAAAAACATGTAATATTTTCAATGAATTCACCCTAAATAAATAAAGCAAATTTAGCATTTAGAACAATTTCCTATTAAATAAAAGTAGTCCTGCTGTCTGCAGGATATCTGTCAGCTAAGCACTCCCGAGTATTGCAGTGTCAGCTTGGTGATTCCATAATTTAGCATAGAAAAAAGGCTGCAAATTGGGTGCTGTTGGCCAACTATAAACTGTGAACTTCGACAGGGAAAGAGAGAGAGAGAGATTGAGAGAGAGAGAGAGAGAGATAGGGTGAGTGGGCCGAGTTGATGGCAAAGTTTTAACAAGTTCTGACACTTGCAGGCTCGTCACCAGCTGCATGCGGCAGGACAAGGCAGGATGCAAGAGGGGGTGGCTGTTAGCAGTTAGGTGCAGCTGACATGAAACAGCAGCAAGGGCAGCATAAAATAAAAGTGCATTGCGATTTGCCTGGCAATGGAATTGCTAATTTCCGGCATAACTTTGCGGCTCATTTTCGTGTTGGCCAAGTTAGAGAATATGCCCACAAAATGCACACAGAGAGAGTAGCCGCAAGCGGGACGGAGGAACGGCGGGAGGTAGATAGGGAGGGAGGAAGTAGAAACACAACTTGAGGTCCAATTCGTAGCTTATCAATAGCTAATGACCTGCAAGCCAAGTCGCCTGCTCTCTAAACTAAGTTACAGCAATAGGGGGGAATGGGGGTAGTGGGCGTGGCACTGTCGCTCTATTTCCGTTAGCGCCGTGACAACTTCCGCCCGTTGACCAATTTCCCGTGACAGAAGGTTCATTGAACTTACACTAAAGCCGGATGTCGATTCCAACTGCTGCTGCTGATGCTGCTGCTGCTCGTTGGAGATCTGCTTGAGTACGCCGACATATTTGAGATTATGACAAAACTGCAGAGCCATTGCATTTAAAGATTCCTGTCCAACGATGCCCGGTGAGCTGCTCTGCTGCAGCGTTGAGATTAGCCATTTGATCAGCATTTGACCTACGAATAAATGAATGAGAGAAAAAGGATAAGTTTATTTAACTAAGAACTTAGTGTGGATATGAAATGAGAACCTGTAATCGGACATGGAAGTCGACAAAGTTAGCAACTTGGGGAAAGAGTGAAGAAAGATAATATAAAATAATTATGCAACTTATGGATGATATAATATGAGAGCCTGCTACATATAAGTCAGCAAAGATTGCTACATGGGGAGAGAAGAAGGATAAGTATACATATGTGATAAAGTACTGTAAGAAATGTTATGGAATGAAAGAGAGGAAACGAAAACCTGAGATGAAACATGGACCTCAACTTTATTAGCAACTTTGGCGAGTAGTCCAATCATACAACTCTTATTGGATATAAAGAACTGCAATAAAGTACCAAAAACAGTCTACAATTCTAATAGAGCCAAATTCTTAACAAAATCAGTCTACAATTATAATTGAGCCAGATTCTTTTAAATTTTGATTATTGCAAAACATTGTTAATAACTTTGAAAGCCAATGAGAAAAGTAGATTTTGTTTATTATAATTGTAACAGTTCTGAATTTGTTACCACTTGAATACTAATCATTTCTTAAATTTGTTCATGTGAGGAAAGTATGAAGAATTTTTCAAACACTTTTTTTTAAATCTCTACGCAGCCGGAATGATGATCAAAAAGGAACTCACTTTAAAATTCGGGTTTGCTCTCTTTTTCCCAAATGGGATCTTTATACCATTTTTTACTCAATTTTATGTATCATTTTTACTTATTAATATTGGTCTAGCTTAAAAAAGTTCAAGCCAATGGTTGAGAAACTGTTCTGCAAAAGTGATGAAGCTCGAATTTGAAGAACAAAAAAAAAGAAAAGAAGAAAAACAACCTGCGACGAGTCTACTTCCTTTAGTCAGATTAGGGGGCTCTATAAAGTTTGGCCACAGCTGCGCAGCTGGGCAAAAGTTGTACCCACATACTACATATGCGGACACGCGGACACAATGATTTATGTATGTGTGCGTTGGCAGAAAAAGTCAAGAGGAATGCAAGGGGGAGCCAAGGAGTGGACAGCAGAGCTGGGGTGGGGGTGGGGGTTGTGGTGTTAGGGGAGGTGCCGTGATGTGTATATGGGATGTTGTAGACGTGTTGGCTACCAAAACATTAGGCATAAATAAATTTAACTGTTGTCGACACAAAAAAAAAAACCAAGCCAACAAAAAAAAAAACCAAGCAAAAAAAGCTGTCAACAGTGCAACGAAGATAAGATACCCTATATGAGTGATTGCTTTACCTATTAACTATTGATAGATGTTTGTTGATGTTAGTTATCTGTGATGCAATTGATTGACAATTGTGACTTGGTAGCAATTGTGATCGGATCCAAAGAAACAGGCGACACGTGTAATGTTCTATGTTATCTTGTAGTATTCTCAACATTTTTAGTTTCATTTTAAATAGAGACTATTATGTATAATTATTTTCGTATATGTTCAAGTATGTACTCCAAAAAGACTGTATTGATAAGTACAATCAAAGATTGTTAAGATCACTTATAATTTTTTAAGTTCTATTATACTTTAAAGATAATGTTTGAATGGAGTTTATTGTAAGAAGTTATAATATATTTTTAATCTTGTTTTCTCACGATTTCTTGCTTTAAATATTATATTTTCAGACTTGTTTTTTAGAAGTTAAGTTAGAAAATAAATAAGAACATTTTCTATTTTGTTTTAAAATTAAATTTGTTGAAATTTAAATGAGTTCGTACTTTAATCATTTGTTTGTAATCAAAATGTGATTACAATTTTAAAATAAATCAAAACAAGTCAAACTCTGTTTATTACTTTGTTATTGTTTGGGAAATTGTTGTAGTAAACTTTATGAACCTGTCACCTTTTTATAGATTCTGATTAAGTACAATGTTTTGAATGATTAACGAAAATAAATGATTCATTTTCAAAATAGAATTATACTCTACAAACAGTGAACCTGATTAACTGAGATTGCTTAGGCAAACGAAATTATAAAAAGATTTAGTTATCGTTAGCCAATCCCATAAAACTAATCAAGTTTCATTCAGAAATAAAAATATAATACTCAATTCAAGATTCAATATTAAACGAAAAACAGCAGCAAATCTTACAATCTAATGCATAAGCTTGATATTGGTGTAGAGTGTTGTATGGCAAATAAAAACTTACGCTGGCTGTCAGCGCGTGTTTGTGGAGCGGGAAAGGGCGCGGGAGCGGGTGGGAGTCGAGCGGGGACAATGTCCATTGCCAGCTGTGGGTCTGGCGCGTGTGGGTCAAACCGAAGGCTGACGATGTGCACGCTAATGTTGTGAGCCACCGGCGAGGGCGGGCAGACTTTAACCTTAGTGGATGGTGCCGCTGTTGCTACTGCTGGTAAATCGAGTGCGACATCAGGTGGCGTCTGCGGCGGCAACTTTGAACGTGGTGGCTGCTGATGGCGGGTCAGCTGAACGCGTTTGCCCGCCATTGACATTAGCTGCAGATAATGCGCTGATGATTCGGCCACGTTAAACAACGCTTCCGGCTGCGACTGTTGCTGTTGCTGTTGCTGCATTGCCCCCCACATAATGCCACAATCCGGCACACGACTAATTGGCACGTGATTCTCCACGGGTGGTGACTCCAACTCCAACTCCGACTCATAGTTCGTGCCCAGCTGGGCGCGCTTGACGAGCAGTGGACACCAGACATTGCTCAGCACTGGGCTGGTGGTAGTCATTGCTGCTACTATTACTTATTAACCGTGCGACTTGTTCTCGAAAACTGTTTTCAACTAAAGCTCGCACTTTTCACTGTCAACTTTTTGCGTTAGCTTCGCTATTTGTTTCACAAAATTAAATGTGTCGACACTTATCAGAATTGTGAATAGAGCACAGCAAGTTATAGACAAGAGTTAGACACAAGCGATCGACTAGCAGATACCCTAAACTCAAGCTGTCAACTATATATGGATAAATATTCTTCTGAATATTTGTACACATAAAATGCTTATTTGTGGAAAGCAATCTTTATAGATGATCTATATTATGTCTAGGTATATTTCAATTATGGTTACATCTGTGAAATTGTAGATTTTATTATTATCAATAATCGATATTCGTACAGCATGAAATAAGCATAATCTGCCTAAAGAGAACTTATATTCCTAATTTGTAGTCTCTGGCTGTTAAAGTCTCTAACTGATATAAACAGATAGTCGGACATGGCTAAATCAACTTGTCGTTCGATGCAGATCGACAATACATATACATTGCGGGGTCTTAGCTGCTTCATTTTGCCTGTTACATCATTTTGGACAACTTCATCGTACACTTTTTAGCCATTTTCATGGCTGCAGGGCATAACGAGTCAGAGTCAATGCTCTATTTTCGTATTGGTTTTGTTGTTTTCCGATTAGTTCTAGTGATAAGTGCCAGCTGGTTGTAGAAGCGGGCATTGCAGCTACTCTATCTCTCTGTCTCTCTCTCTCTCTCTTCCAGTCTGACGTTCTATTGAACGCCCGGGCAAGGTCGCTGACTATCAGTCATGGCCTGATATGAAGAACTACAAGTTTTATGCTCTTTTTTAGCATATGCCCCATATTTAATCATTTTTATAAAGAGGCGTTTAAGGTAACAGATAGAATATGACACGCACTTGAAAAATTAAGAATAAATAATGTATTTTATTTATATTTTTAATTTATGCATATCATTTTAGTTTTATGAGTTACGGGTTCTATCCAGTTTTTCCTTAATAACATTCTTAAGATTTATGTCATAACTCAGCTTGTAGTAACCAATAACTCATTTTTTTCCAACGCCTTCATTTGTTGGCTTAAAGACTAAAAGAAAATAAATACTGATCTAAGTACTATTTCCATCCTGCAATTAATTTTGCACAGGATATCATCGAGTCAAGCACTTTTAATGGAATTGCTATTGGACTTAATCATGTGTGTAGAGATTTGCATCAGGAGTGCGTCACAAACCAGTCACCGCAGAACTGAGTCATTTCATTAGTGATCCCTGATACCAATAGAAATCAGTGAAACGATAAGCTCAAGAAACGAGGAAAAACATTGATTCAAGTACTTAGAAATTGGAATGATTTCGTCCAAGCGTTGGTCAACTTTCTTTCTTTAAAATTGTTCTAAAATTAAATGCTGCGCAAATCAATTAAAGTGGTTTTTAGATATTCTATATGACTGCAGTAAATGTCCACTTTTAAAGTGTTGACTCATTATACGTCTTAGCCAAAAAGTTAGTGTAACTGATAGCTGATTGCCAACTGATATGGCTACAATTGGTTACTACGCAAGTCATGTTAATTAGTGATAAATATATAGAGACGGAGAGAGACACAGAGAGAGGGCGATAGAGAGAGGAACAGTGAGAAGAAAGCTAAAGTTGAATAATAAGAGTGAAAAACAAGTTAAAGTAATCTATATCTATCTATAGTCTTTGTCTGAACTTAGCTAATCTTTGCCTGAAATACTAATCAGTTCTTTATAAACAATATATAATTATCTGTTTAAATTATATATCAATTGGAAGGATATAGCTTTACAATTCTAACTTCTGTAGCTATCGGATATAGATTTGTATCGAAGTGATGATAAATAGGAATTTATTTTCCAAATTTGTGGGCTTCAGCTATTATCTGATCTGTGAGAGCAGCTTGTTCATATTGACAAATAGACAGACAATAATATGAATACTTTATGGGATCGTAAATCCATCTTTCTGTCTGTTACCTACTTTTGAATAACCCTTTTACTTATTTTGAATGACACAATACTACTACTCATACTATCAAATTTATAGATATATACATTTTTCATATATTTCAAATACGAAAACTGTTCACTTTCACTAAACTTTTCGATTATTATTTAAATATGCATTACTTTTGACAAACTTTCAATCTTTTTGTTGATGGGAAATCTTAAAGATCGACTTTATTTTTAATCTGCTCATTGTTGCCACAAAGCAGAAATCAAA